TCCCTACTAATTTAACCATTAGATATGTACTGACCTGATGACGAGATCCCGAAAATATCAATGTTCGTCACTGTGTTATTTTTCAAACTCAAATTTCACCGCAAGATTGGTGACATCCGCGTCTGTAGGATTAGGTGACCGCTGGACTGAGGTGTGACTATTAGGAAATGCTCTTAACGAGCTTCTAAAGCCTTTTGTGGAGAGGTTAGCCATGTCGTATGGGTGAGGAATGGAATGTCGGTAAACAATCACTGCGCGCCAACTTCCAGAAAAACAGCGCCTGGACAGTCAGCTGATTTGCGATGGGTGTCTGCAAACAGTGTTATCATCATCATCATCATCATCATCATCCTCATCCTCATCATCATCATCATCATCATCATCATCATCATCATCATCATCATCATCGTCATCATCATCATCATCATCATCATCATCCTCATCATCATCATCATCATCGACAGCATGACACCAGTGTTCAACACTGATGCTTCACTGCCGTACAGCCATGACTTATTTGAAAGCCTTATTGTAAAGAAAAGCGTAAAGGTGTCTATACCTCCAGACATTCACTCGGTCGATCTGGATAGAAAATGACAACAAGAACGCCACTGACATCGACTGGCAGCTATATATTGTGGTGTCTCCAACCAGGCACAGTGAGGATCACGTGGACCCCATCCTGTAAGGCGAGTAACACCGACAGCACTCAAACGTTTCGTGATCTCCTTCATACTCCTCTGCCAAGTCAAGGGTTGACCACCTGTCTGTTTACGCCACGCCGAATGGGGAATGGAAAACAGCACTCTCTTCGGCAAACGATGGCTAGGCATACGCAACACATGTCCCAACCAACGCGGCTTCTGGTGCTGGACACATTCTTCAATGGAAGTACCCGTTGCACAACCGAAAACGCGCTTTCTAACTGCCTCGTTACGGATTCGCCGACACCAACCAATGCTATAATAAAGTACAATAGATCTACCATCCGTCTTTGTATTGCCTGAAATCCAGTTACGGGAATTTGGATGAAGCAAACACGATGGCACGGTCCTTTGGGAATCACACTGACTGACTCAAAATTTTGGTGATTTCATTATAGCCTTCGCAAAAAGAACATGAACTTCTAACGATCGATTCGCATATATTGTGGGTTTTGATAACTTACTCGGCAATAATCACAATAAGAAAACGAAGGATGTCCGCGTTTCGAAATTCACAAAGCCATAACTGAAACCTGATGATTCTTTTTTTCAAATTTTTCTTTCCCAATGAATATTCGAATGAGTTCCAACCAATCAACAGTTTTTGTGAATGATACGTGATACATTTGAATGGCACTTTGTATGTTCCGACCAAACACAATGAAAGATGGCAGATGAGTTGATAAATTAAGCAGTACTTACCACGTGTATTGCTTGTTCCACTTGACATCTCTTCAACAACTCGTTGGACCTTTTTCAAATCACGTAACTTGCAATTTTCAGAATACTTTATAATGTATTACTCATAGGGTTGCTGGAAATCCATCGACAGCCCACCACCGGTTTCGCCCTTCCAATTCGGGCTCATCAGGTAGGCGCAGTCCCCGGGTTTCCGTCAACCTTATGTTCTACTTGAAATTAAATTGCACGAAATTAGCGAATATACACTCATTTGCAAACCAAATTGGTCTTTCGGGAGACTCACCTGGAACCTAGGTGAATCTCTCGTTTGTGATGTTCTCAGGCAACTGAATGTGCTGCACCAGGCCGCCTCATGTTTCAGTCGCTACTATATTTGAAATATCGCGATACATGTATATCTTCGTAATGTACTACTCATATCTGGAATATCGTATCGACTGAAACATGAGGCGGTCTGGTGCAGCACATTCAGTTGCCTGAAAACATCACAAACGAGAGATTCACCTAGGTTCCAGGTGAATCCCTCGCAAAACCAAATTAGTTTGCAAATGAGTGTATTTCGCGTCCGTTCGGAATACGAGCAATTTTCTGGAGTCTCACATTCCGACGTTTCCATCAAACTTGTGAACGGATTACCAAACGTGTCCAGCGAAAAATTATGCGAAAGGGGTGAAATGGGATCTAAGCAACTCTTTATGATTACGTACAGCGCGAAACAAGCAAGCTAACTTTTTTTTAAATTGTCTTGAAGTTGTGTAAGCTATGGAGAGCACCACGGATTGGGAAAAGCTCTCCATTTCTCGTTCAGCTTCGTTCAAACAGCGTAATTCCTCTCTAACTAACGTTACTGGCTGACAATGAAAAAATCAATACATTCCACAATACGTTCTGTTCATTTTGAGCACAGTTAACGAAGCTACCAATCAGTGTTTTTTTCTCTCCTAGAGCTATCCAACATCCAAATCCGAGTGTGCTCTCTGTTTGGGAGAGGATCAACGAATTTACTCGAAGTTTTCACCAGGAACACTCTAGAGGAATTTCGTAATAATTCTCCAAAACAAATTACGCGTTATCAAAGAAGTGGGACTTCCATTATTAGTAATTAACTGACACAGTGGACACACGCGCTGGAACAATTGATTCCATTTTCTGGGTTCCTGAGCACGTTTTGGGTGGTTGTGTTTTTTTCTTCGATGTGGCAAGACCGAAATATTAGTAATAAGTAACAATCATGAAACAAATGATGTTTCATAACAGCGTATGAACGTGACCATAAGGCAAACTCAGAATCGAGACCACACGGTTGGATGTATGACGTCTCATTTCTACCTAGTCGAATGGCGGAATTGCTGAGTTTGTTTCATATTTTATCATGCAATTATGGAGCAGAAAGTCTTTTTATGGTGAACTACCTTCTCGAATGACATTTCGCCCACCCAACATCAGAGACGAAACTATAAAACGGGGTTTTTGATGCTCTACCGAGGTCAGCAACATAGACGGCGTTGTCTTGGATTCTTTGTTCTCCACGTTGTTACAACACACAGGTAGACACGAAGAGGGACTAAAAACCGCGGTCTACTTCACCTGTTGAGAATCTATTTTGGAAGCGTCCTTTCATGTAAATTTTCATAAGTCAGTAGATTTTCGGGGAGAGAATACAACTTTTACGCACGCGAAACCTGATAATCGGTCTAAACTAAGCAAGTTGGCTTCTCAAATGTGAACTCAACTCAGCTCGGTGCAGCGGCTACCGGAAACAATTCTGACTACACTTCCAGCCCTAATCATGACGTAAGGGGGTTGCAGGTCACTAGTGCCTGCTTGACTTAGGTCGGCTATAAACCCCACAGTGACTAGTCAGCTCGCGCGACAAATTGACTTCATTCGGCCTCGGATTGAAAACGCCGTCCATCGAGAATTATCCAAGTTCAACGAGAATAAGTTGCAATCGTCACCATCAAACCAGATCGTAATCAATACTATTTTAAGATGATCGAAGTATGATATGGTGACATACAAATGTCCTTGATTTTGGCCACATATGTCTCGAACGTACCTCGAAACGCGTATTAATTTGCCCTAAATCTGTTGTTCATTCGTCTGTGATGAGTTGCTAACGGATTTCATAAGGCGATTGCTAAAGCATGTATGCGATTCTTTTGAAGATCACTCACTCACTGGTACCAGAAAGAAGAGCGATTCAGGTGAAAGAAAGAACGCTGAAAAAACTGCTTTGAACTCGATTCTAATACAGCTTACCACTGTTACAGTAAAAGAAATATTCGGATCCTCGCCGACTGACTCAAGAAAGTGTTCTTTGTGGGAGAAATCACTGATAAAGGGTCCTCCATATCTCTCTGCAAACGGATCTTCCTGAATAAGTTATCTCTGCCTATACATTGGTGTACCAAGACACCAAAAATCGCACGGATGTTGTCTTCGGGAAACTCTTGCGCGTAAACTCAAGTCGCTTATATTGCCTAAATATTTGCCGATCGTTCCGAACTGCATTCATCACTTATCATGGCCAGATACACAGCTACCAGTTAGAGGAAGAAGGCCTTCGCTGCAAAGTCATTTATTAGAAACTGAACAGTTACAAACCGCTGGACAGGAAAGCAAAACTCTCATTTGCATCATATTTACACAAACTGGACATCCATCTTCTCCTGAACGCGTCCTCTTGAACGTACCTTGGTATCCACTGACTCCAATCATTCATTGCTCAAATCCAGGCAAATGCTACAAAGCGACTCCTCAAGTTCCGCAACAGATCTCCTCTTTTCAAGAGACGCAAAGCGAAATTCCAAGAACGACACATACTACTCGCATGCCTCCCATCAGTAGTATCACCGTTACACCAGTATTGCCGTTTTTGTTGGTACTTTCCGATTTCTTTGGCTGTCTTATATGATCCTTCTCCCACCAGTAAGTTGATCCTGAAAAGGCACTAGGGTTTCCGCTAAAGAAAGTCTTCCGAGGCGGACATGTTTACTCGACGATACTCAAAGACAGCTGCAGAAATTTGCACGAGCGAAATTCCGCACTTGTCAAAATCTATTTTAGCCAAATCCGAAGCAATCGCTTCTCAAGAAGGCCATCGAATTACTGAGACCAAAGCAAAGCAGCTGAGCTTGTGCCCACTGCTTTCAAAACCCATCGGTATTGCACCTTTTGGGCCTAGTAAATTCGGCATAAAAAGCGTAAAATGAAGCTCTCATAAAGCCTCTCATTTAGTGTGACCTGCGCAGTGCTAGGTTTCATCCGCGTGCAAACCAACCATACTGTTAGCTGATTGGCGAACCCAGAACAATTGAAGCCTTGCTCAAACCTTCAACTTGTCAGGGGATCGATTGGCCCAGATAATTTTTAGAAAATTGTTGTTGATTCCAAATAAGAATGCGAATGTTGAACAGCTTGCACCTTCGTATTTCTCAAAGATAGACCTCAGTTTTATGCTTTTTTTGTAGAGTTGCAACCTTAGGCGACACGTTTTCCTGGAAAATACGTGATGGGCCTTGTACCGGATCACCGCTGGTATTTAGCCCTTCCCTTGATTCCAAATGGTAAGTTACGAAAAACTGGCTTTCTTTCACGGCATTCGCAGGGCAACATCCGGAGAATACGCCGTTAAGGAATTACAAAATATTGTGTCGCAGCATGAATCTTAGTGCTCACAAGATAGGACTGTCTTGGGTCAAGAAGCGCCGAGCTGTAAACACTCGATTATGATTGGCTCTTATTTGAACCAATCAGAGCATTCCTCTTTTTGATCGGTAGCCACACACGCATGCTTCCAGTCGACGTGCCATTCCGTAATTCCACTTGCTTGTCTCGGGACACTGGTTTTAGAAATTTTTTTATGAATTTAAGCTCAACATTTGTAGTAGTTCATTTGGGGCTCATTGAGATGTACTCTGAAGGGGCAAACGCAGAAATTACAGGAAGGCTCTGTGAATTTGATTGCCATTGGGTGTGAATAGATTTGGTTTGTTGTGACACATCAAACATGTGAGAAAAAAGCCTTCCCAGAATGAATTATGCTGCTCTAAGTTGCCGATTCGAAAGCGAATGAAAAGTCATCTTTCCGACACATTTGTTTGATGTTTTCATACATCCTCGGAAGGTGTAGGCGAGCGGGAAGGAGTGAGTCAGGAGCCCGCATACTGCTTTTACTTAGTTATCACTCTACTGGCCAACATTTCCTTCACATGCCAAAAAGGTTTTGTTTTGACAGTATGGTGTTAAATTCACGAGTATCAATCACAGTTTCCTAGGAATTCCCGCTGCAGTGGAATAAACACCAGTGCTTTTTATGGCTGAAGCATGCATTTGAGAAATTCAACATCGTGTCACCTCCAGATGGATTGTATTCTGTTAACCATGGGACTAAAACGGAACTTCACAGACTTTTAAATGACATTTAACATAGACAACGCGTTTTTAGTTGGTGTTGAAGAGTCGCTTGAACCCTTTTTATGAAGGGTTCAAAGATTGGGCGCCAACAGCTGCGGTAACTCCCTCACGAACCTTCCTAAGCTAAAAGGCTAAAACTCCGGTAGGAAGACAACAGGACGACAGTTAATCCGCCTCAGTTATCGTATCCATAAAAGCGAGAGTTGCGATACTATCAACGACAACTATTCCCCTCTGTTGGTGTCCAACAGCCGGATAACCGTGTGCAAAGTTTGTCCATCAACTTCGCTGGTCGGCGGCCGTCTAAATTCATTGACAAAACAGCAGGACAGCTTCGGAGGCGCAGGGCCGAGAATAGATGACAAACCAGATTTACTACAAGTTACTTGGTTATATTTGCACAGTCTTGGGTACTACCTCGATGTGTAAGTCGACTCCAGAGTATTGCAAATAATGCTGTCAAAATTCGCGTTACCACCGGGAATATCATTTGGTCCTGCAAGTGTCAGACTTTCTGTTATTCCAGACCGATCCCAGTCTGTTTGAGTGACAATCCCATTTCGACAGTTAGTGGGGTCAAGCACAACCTAAGTCAACTAAAACAGCGAACTCTACCACACCTACCTTGTTAATCAAACCGAATTCGCATAGTGAAACCTCCAACCGAAGCGTCCTACACACGCGCGCACACAGTTCTCATCATCGGGCTGCCGAAAAGATGAACGCTCAAAGCATTCGTGAAAAGACCGGCATACCAGTTACTTGTGGACATGAAGTAGCATAGATAAACGGAATTCTTACCTTCCCTATCCCTGTATTATCACACAAACCGCGTCTTAGTTTCCGAATGATCCTCGGCATACTAGTTACTTGTGGACATGAAGTGGTATAGATAAATGGAATTTTTACCTTCCCTATCCCGGTATTAAAACCGCGTCTTAGTTTCCGAATGACCCTGTTTAGACGTAATACACTACTCATAGGGTTGCTTATGGAGCAAGTGAGTGTATTTCGCTAATTTTGTGCACACAGAACATTAAACTGACGTAAACTCGGAGACTACGTTTACCTGATGAACCCCAAAAAGGGCAAAACAGGTCATGGGCTGTCGGAGGATTCCCAGCAACCTTGTGAGTAGTGTATTACGTCTATACATGTATCGTGATATCTCAAATATCGTAAACATGGGGTGGCCTGGTGCAGCACATTCAGTTGCTTTAAAACATCATAAACGAGATGTCCGACTGAGCAACAGGCGAGTCTTCCGCAAGACCAAATTCGTTGGTAAATGTTTGTATCTCGTGAAAATAACCCAGCTAGATAGAGCACGGATTCCAATTTTTTTAGTTTTTCATTCGTTTTCAGTGAATTTGGGCGATGTGTATCAGTTGGATTGGAAACCGATGACGCTCAACTGCTTGGACAAGACTCGTAGCGAGATGCTCAGCGTCCAGGAGTAGCGACATACCCGCCATCGAGACGGCAGACCGGTTGGTCGATCCATTCTATAAGGACACCGAATTGATTGTGCCAAGACAGAAGCTGAACCATTTTGTCGATGACTGATGCGATGAATTATCAAAGTACAATGGGCCCTTCCCAATTTATTTTTTCTATTCTCCCAGGGCGCTGAAAACGTCTTCTTGATTTGTGAATGGACACGTGGAAACCAGCTGGCAACCAAAAGGGGAAAGCGAACAAATAGTGAATCCAGTCGACCTAGAAGTCAGCTTCATGTCAGGCTAAACAGCCTTTTAAGTAGATCCATCAGCGAAGCTAATTAATGCAATTAATGCGAACCTATGAACGATCTACTTGTTTTCCATCTTTGTGCCCAAATCCTGGGTCTTCCTGTATCTTCAACGGATACCTCCTGTTAAGCACTACAGTCTATTTAATGCCTTCTTATTACTGTGACCATCGGTCTGGATAGCCGCCTGATCGCCTGGTGCGCTTGACCAAACCAGAAAAAATCAATGAACGTGCGAACCGGCTGATATATTGATCACTGTCGCGTACAAGCAGTCAAATGTGATACTGAGAATACAACTCATTTGTCAAGGGCGAGTGAGGAACAACCAATCAAATCTGTCTCAACAAAAAACGGTTATTCCATTGGCAGTTATGTAGTCCCGTTGCGTTCGGTGCTGGTTCAAGTGCACCCTTTGGCAGGATGAACAAGAGGAGACACTTATCTCAAAAGCCTAGTTAAGCACCAGTAGGTGTAAAAACATTCTCAATGGACGTGCTCACTATTATGTGGACTAGCTTTTGAAGAGTATTTCCATGGGGAATTTAGTATCCCAACCAGATTTTCCACTAATTTGTGTACTGAAGTTTCATGCAGACATCGCAGACAAAATTTTACGAATTACGGTTTTACCTTTGGTTATAAGAAAACACTGTAGAGTCTCAAAAATAATTTCCAATTTTGGCAGAAATAGAATTGCCATAGAGCGCAAATATTTACTCGAGAGAAACCAGACTGTTCCGCTCCTCCGACAGCCGATCGTAACATTTGATACTCTTGGGTAAACAGCGTTTCCAAACCGTGGACAATTTCTGGATTTGTGCTGGTTCTTGCCTGCCACATCTGATTCGCTCACTGTCCACGAGGACGAAAATTTATTTTTGCGTTTTATCAGTTGATACAACCTGTTGAAATACTGCAAGACCATGACAAGCGTGGAAAATTGTTTGTCTCTGTGCTCATTTTTCCTAGATTCCCGTGTTTGAAATTTTTGAGATCCTGAAATATTTCAAATCAAAATATACGTCATTAGGCCGTGCGTTTTTGTTCGGCAAAACACCACAAGATTTCTTTGGATAAGCTTTAATCTGTAGAAAGAATAGTGGGTGAGATTTTCTTTGGTCTAATTCATCGTTTTTCAAACTTGGACGGTACGTTTTCTCTACAAACATGGTGTAACGATGGATGAAGCAGGCGAGTAGTACGTTGAAATACTGCAAGACCATGACAAGCGTGGAAAATTGTTTGTCTCTGTGCTCATTTTTCCTAGATTCCCGTGTTTGAAATTTTTGAGATCCTGAAATATTTCAAATCAAAATATACGTCATTAGGCCGTGCGTTTTTGTTCGGCAAAACACCACAAGATTTCTTTGGATAAGCTTTAATCTGTAGAAAGAATAGTGGGTGAGATTTTCTTTGGTCTAATTCATCGTTTTTCAAACTTGGACGGTACGTTTTCTCTACAAACATGGTGTAACGATGGATGAAGCAGGCGAGTAGTACGTGATTTTCTCATAAAATCGCTTTGCGTTTATTGAAAAGTGGTATTTATTACGGAATTTGTGGGATTGCTTTGTAGCATTTGTATACATCTGGGTGATAGTTCGTGAGTATCCACGAAAGTTCAGAAACAAGCCGTATTCGCCACTCTGAAACCGCTCATGACCTCCGCTGATTCCTTTGATAATCCACTCTTCGCCAGCTTGATTCCAGATAAATTTTAAAGCATCTGAAAAAAACAGATAAAAAACCAACTGAATCCATTAAATGAGTAAGATATTAGGTCGCCTTGTTTCGAAGTGAGAAGTGCAAACCTTACGCGTAAAGCCAAGGTAAAATAGGCAGCAATGTGCGCTCCGGGATCGACTATTTGACTGACTGAGTAAGTGATTGATTGCTTGACTGATGGTTTGAAAGTCCCACCACGCACCTAATTACCTGAGTGGGCACACGCTACCCAACACTCTGAATGGATTGTGCAATTGAAAAATAAAAATTATCTCTTGAAGGCTTTCCCATCAATCACTCAAAAAAAACTAAGAGTACATTCACTGGGCGAATGGTTTGGCTTAAAATGGTTGAAAGCGCATCAAGTTGAAGATGGCGCAGGTGAACGTTTTAGAATTTTGTGAGTTTAGGGCATTCACAGTTTCAGTACAGGTCAATTTAGTCAGCTTTTCACTGATTTGAGCGTCGACTCTTCAGTACCTCCTAGTGACAGTTTCNTTGAGCGTCTACTCTTCAGTACCTCCTAGTGACAGTTTCCTAGCTGCTTTTGTCCTTTGATTGATTGGGCAATGAGGCGCAATTCGCCGGCTTGCTTCTTTGAATGAAAACCATGTGCACACGTGATTTTTGCTGGCACCTGACCTTGAACTATTTCTCAATTTGACGAATGAAATATGTCTTTTCTTAAAAAAACTTAGACGCGGCTTGGAAAGTTCATGATCGTTTGAGTATATGCTCAGAGGGGCAAATGAATGAGCAGTTGAACTCAAACGAGCGAAAAATTTCAACAACAAATATGGAATATGGAAAGTTTAAAGTCGAAACACAGCATGATGAAATATTGTTTCAGTTGCCATGGGAAACTCTTAAATTCAGGTTAATCGTGGCAACCGTGATTTTGGATTAAAACATCTTATTCCAGTATGCTCTTTTGACCTTCAACTTTTGACATCATATAGCGAGTGGCGCTCAGTCTTTGTTCAAAAACATCCTAGCAGACTTTGGCCGGGGACTCCTAAGCTTTGTCAACTATCGTTTTTGGCAACAACAAAGTCTCCTTGATAGATCACTGAAAACTGTGTTCGAACTGAGAGGCAAAAAGTACCGACGACCTACTTACAAGTAGTTAATGCTGTAATTAATATGGTGGTCAAACTTATCCAGCTATGACCTCAGGATCCGTGGAGTTTGATGCTCTGTGCCGGTCAAAAACGTGAATGAAGCGCAAAGTCATATATAATAAAGAGAATAAGGGATATACTTCCTAAGAGCAATAAAAGCCCATTCTGGTTTTACCTTGATCCAGCAAGAAAAGTGACATGTTACCATGACTACATCTCAAGCCATGCCTTCAGGCAACTGGAGCACAAGGATGCAGCAGTCGATAATTCCCTCCTTTGGCGAAGAGCACATCAAGGAATTTGTTATATCTGAATGGTGTTCACGCTCCAGTACCTTCTGCCAGAAAAAGAATGCACCGATAATGGTACACAACAGCTTTATCCAAACAAGCGATTGCGTGCGAGTGCAAAAGTTACAACGTCCCCGTTCTATTTGAAGAGCACATTAGATATTGATCCAGGCTGTTTGATATGCGTTTAATAAACACCCATCAATATCGATCGTGCTTCGATGAACTATCTGAACGCTTACCACATTCGGTCGTGCTTGTGTGGCGTGCAAGAATGAATGATTGACTGGCCTGGAAGCTTTCCGGTTTTCCTGTTTCGATTCTGGTGGAGCAGTAGGTATCGGGCAATCTGAGGTTACTTTCAGGAAACTGACCTTCCTGATAGCTGGTAACAACGATCTTACCACTTTGGTGGAGTTTTAGTGTCTCAGTAGATTTCAGGCGTTCTGGGGTTAGTTCCAGAATTCCGACCTTCACGAGAGAACTTAATATTTGCAACGGCATTAAGCTAAAGCAATATGATCCCCGGATACGTCTGAACAAAGCAGCAAGCAACATCGGTTGCCGGATGAATCCATTTTGTATAGACTCGTGTGGTCTACCCCAATATGTATACGTGGAATGAACTCAAGCAAATTACGGAACTCGTGTAATGGTGATATTACTGATGGGGGAGGCATGTGAGTAGTATGTTTTTTCTTGCAAATTCGCTTTGCGTCTCCTGAAAAGGGATATCTATTGCGGAATTTGTAGAGTCGCTTTGTAGCATTTGCTTGGATTTGAGCAACAGTCAATGAATATCCAGGAACGTTCAAGAAGACGCGTTCGAGAGAAGATGGATTTTCAGATTTTGTAAAGAAGCTGCATATGAGAGTTTTCCTTCCCTGTCCAATTGTCTGTAACTGGTCAGTTGGTATTTTCTAGTAAATAACTCCGCAGCAAAGGCCTTCTTTCTTTCACTGGTATCATTTCTTACGCGTTCACTCATTTGCATGCCAGTTCGGTTTTCACAGAAGACTCACTTGCATTGTCCCGAATATTTTATCTAAAACATGAAGCGACCTTTGTGTGGCACACTGAGTTGAAGCTCACAAAATCCAGCTGTTATTCGGGTGAGGAAAGCGTTTTAGCGCTTTAACAGTTGGTTCGTTCAGAGATTTAAACTTTTGACCCACACAGTATTCCGCTCCGTGTTAGCTTGTGAGTATTCACTGCTTGCTTTATTTTCGGTGACCCCACTTTGCTCATCGAACAAACTAAACTCGTGTCTATTTTGACAAACGGCAGTTAACACGTAGAAAAAAAATCCAGTTACTGCTGACCAAAGTTATTTCGCGAATAGACTGATCGCCACCTGGCCACCTGGCAAGGAAAATCATCCTGTTAATTCCAGGATGGGGAGACAAATCGATTTTTTTGACAGACAACAGGAACTTTTCAAGCACAATTCATATACAAGGCAGATATTTGACCGCGCGACTCTGACACCCTTTGGATCACTCTTCAGACTAGTGCAAATGGTTTACACGTCCATAACTATCGTGCAATTAAAGTGCTGCCAGCACAAAACTGTTCTGTCATGCTGATCCAAAACAATGTGCCAGTTCTCACTGATTTAAACTATAGGTTAACCAAAGGTAAAAATTTCATCTTTTGAGGAAA